AGATCTACATGCCTCTCCAGAACTATTTTGGGGGAAGAAAAGGGAGAAGGAAGTCAAGAAAGGAGAGAAGACTGAGGAGGGGAGAGGGGGAGGGAGGGAAGAATAGAGGACAGAAGAGAAGGGAAGAGAAGGGAGGAGAGGAAACAGAGGAGAGGAGAGATAGAGGAAGTAGAAGAGAGAAGAGGAGAAGGGGAGGGAGGGGAGCAAAGGAAAGTAAGGAGAGTGGAGAGGAGAATTTTAAAAAAACCTCATCTCTGCAGATGCAGACTAGGTTTGGGGGAGGGGCAGAGTTAACAAGCCCTTTTCATCCCAGAGATAGGCAGTGAAAGCCTCTGCAGCAATGCAGAGCCCATGCAGTGAACACTGCAGCAAAATCCTGTGCTGACTGCTCTGAGAGAGGGGAAACCAAGGAGAACAGATTCACGCTTCCTCAGAACCTGAAAAACATGCCTCGGAAACATGGTGGGCAGTCTGCCTGCCGTCTGGCCCAGGCCACAGAACAGAAATCACATAAAAGCAGCACCAACAGATTCAGTTCCCTGGAGCAACCCACATAATAGCAGCAAACCATCTGGGAGGCTCATTTTTCCAGGTGGAAATGGTAAAGCTGCTTTCTTAGCTCACAGGGAACCTGATATCCTCAGAAAGTGCCTTCTCGGCTGGCCAGGCTGTTGGATTCTCACAGGAGGGCCCCTGAAATATCCTGCATCCTGTGATGCCTCCCCACGGGGCTCTCCCCTGGCAGCTGGAAGAGAATTCATTTCCATTCAACAAACATTTAGTAAGCACTTGCTGTATACTTAATGCCTGGGGAGATAGCAACATAGATAAGACCTGTCCTCATGGACCTGATGGTCTAGTAAGGGGGGGGGGGATAAGACTAATAAGAGACACTGAATCTTCACCAAAAGGCCCAGTAATAATGCTGAAGATGATGATGATGATGATGATGATGATGATGATAATGACAGCTCACATTTTTACAGCACTTACAGCATTGTGCCAAGCACTTTGCAACTATCATCTCATTTGATCCTCAAAACAATCCTGGGAGAAAGGTACTGTCATCACCCCCATTTTACAGAAAAGGAAACTGAAGCAAGCAGAGGTTAAGTGACTTGCCCAGGGTCACACAACCAGTAAGTGTCTGGGGCCACATATGAAACTCAAGTCTTCCTGACTCCAGGCCAAGCGCTCTATCTACTGTACCACCTAGCTGCCCAGTAACGTATACCATCTTTTGAGGATGACCTTACCCTCAGTTTCCCCATCTGTAAAATGAGAAGTTTGAACTAAATGATCTCCAAAATCCCTTCTAGCTCTAAATGTACAGTGCAAAGTATAAGTTGCTACCTGAAGGCTAAGGTGAGGAAAGGTCATTAGAAAAAGAAAGTGGATCAGGGAATACTTCGTCAAAGAGGCAGGTATTTAAACTGTGCTTTAAAGGATAGGAATTCAGCAGATAATTGGAGGAGGGCATTCCCAGCACAGGAAAAAGCAGCTTGAACAAAGGAATGGAGGGTGGAGAGCTCAAGGGGCAGAAAGGAGCCCAGGAGCATGAGGAGAAAACTAAGAAAAAACTGCCAAGTTACAGTGGCACCAGATTGTGAATGCCAAAGGTTTGACCAAAGGAGTGACATGGTAAGGACTAGGGACTCACTGAAGATTTCAGAACAGGGGAGGGACATGAGCAGATCTATGCAGAAGAGAGATTAACTTGGTGGTGGGATGGAAGGAGGAACAAACGTTAGGAGACTACTATTGAAAGAACAACAAAATTTCAGAGTCGGAAGGGCCTTCAGAGGCCATCTAATCCAACACCTACAGGAGGCCAAGAAAAAAGCAGGACTCAGTGGCTAGGACAACCCATCCCTCCCATTTGAAACATCCCAGCTAGTTGTATTGATCCCACTTTTTTGTTTCTAGGACTTGCAGCCACAGAATGTTAGAGCTGAAACCTTATGCTTAAGCTACGGGAATGTCAGAACTGGAAAGCATAGAGATCATTCAGATCAATGGCCCTCATTTTACAGAGTCAGAGAAAAGTAACTTTTCCAAGGTCACATAACGAGTTAGCAATAAAGCTGAGACTAATACCCAGATGTCTAGACTGCCCAGCCCAGGACTTCTGCTGCCAATGCTCTGGAATAGAGAAACAAAGGCTAGAAAATAGGCCAAGCCAAGTTTTGGAAGTGAGAATTCAGAGAATGTGAAATCTCAGAGCTCAACGGAACAGGGGAGGTCACGTGCAAAACCTACTTTTAGGTAGAAAACTGAGGCCAGGAGAGGTTAACGACAAAGGCAAAATCAGAAGCCTGACCTCATGGCTTGAAATGAATGACTCAAGGGCACTCCCCACCTTCTTAAATCACATATAAGCCATCCCAGACAAATGAGAATGTATTCAATTAAAAAAAAAAACTTGGAAAATTATTCCAGCATCTAACAATACTCACCGTCAAAAAAAAATTCCCAGCTCCTGTCAAGGTATTGAGTAATAAATTTCAAAAGCCAGAGATATATGGTTCCACTTTTTTTAATAAGGATAAAAACATATTGCCCAGAATCTCAGGGTTGGAAAAGACAGTAAGCTTTCGCAGTACACATACCGAGCAAACAGTCATCAAGCCGTTGACAGCTTAGTGGGAGCTTCAGTAAGTCGGCCCTTTCTTCTCTGGGACAGCTCTAAAGAAAAGTGCTGGGAAGACTTTCAGATAGCTGAAGACAGCTACCACGTCATCCCTAAGTGCTGTCTTCTCCAGTCCTTCAACCCGTCCTCATCTGGCATGACCTCAAGACACTTCACCTTCCAGCCTGTCCAGAGCCTCACTTAAATGTAATTATGACTAATCTGAACACAACTGATGTCAATAAGTATTTCATCGTGTCTATTTCCTGCTACTGAGACGTAATAGATACGTTAATACAAAATACTTTCATTGAGTATAGTAAGAAGGGGAGGGAGGAGTGAGGAAAGGCTTCTTGTAGGAGGTAACACCTGAAAGCCCGGAAGGAACCTAAGGAAGGAAGCTGAGAGGAAAAGGCCAGATGGAAGAACGTTCTATGCACAGGAGGCAGCCAACGCAAAGGTGGAAAACAGAATGTCACATTCCAGTTTGGTCCGAATGTATCCTGTGTTGGGGAGTAGTATGAAATAATCTTGGAAAAGCAGGGAGGAACCCAACCATGGAAAGCATTAAATGCCAAGCTGAGGAATCTATATTTGATCTTAAATTCAGCAGGAAGCCAGTGAGGATTCCTGAGCGGGGGAGGGGGGTGACACGGTAGGACACACCCGCGCTGAGGGGAGGATGAGCTACAGAAGGGAGAGCCTGGAAACAGAGAATCACAAGGCTTCAGATGTGGTCTGCCCACTAAAGGAGCTTCAAAATTCATTTTTCACTCAATCTGTAGCATCCTTTTCCATGCTCACTCACAACATCACCTTCCTGCTGTCACCCCCAAGCATTAATAGAGCATTAGGCTGCAAACACTGTGTGATACAGCAGCTCCAAAAGTCAGCGTGATGCTGCTTGGAAAGAAACACAGTGTCTAAAACACAAGAAGCAGTAGCACTCCCTGTTCTCTGCCCTGCTACTGTATCCAATCCTAAGTGCCTAAGAAACTAGAGTATGCTGAAAGGAAGCTGAGAAAACAGAAAACCACACCATCACTTAAAGTACTGGAGATGTTTGACCTACAAAACATGATGGCTGTCTTGAAAGTATTTGAAAGAATTGGAAAAGGGATTAGACTCCTTTGCTCCATCTGTTTGACAAACATTTATTCAGCACCTACTGTGTGCAAAGCACAGTGTTAGATACTAAGGGTGAAAACGAAATAATAATCCCTGCCCAGTGAGAGTTTGCAACCTAATTTGTAAGACAGTGCACCACAGAGAAGGCTGACACAAGGTGATTCATATGATCTAGGGCAAAGGAAAGAGAATAGGAATGAGTATGGAAGGAAAATCTGAGGGAGAGATCACGTCTAGTAGGAAGGAGTGGGATCAAGGAAGGCTTCACAGAAAAAGAATCACCAGAGCTGGGCCTGCTATAAAATGGAGGTTGTCATAAGCAGAGAGGTTAAAGATGAGAAGGTTTCCTGCCTAAATGTGTAAGAAAGGAAAAGGGCAGACTACGATGGTAGGCAACGTGAAACACTGGACCTGGAGTCAGGAAAACCCAAGTTCAAAGTCCAGTCTCAGACACTAGCTGTGTGACTCTGGACAAGTCACATAATTTCTCTCCCTCGTACGTAACATGGAAGTAAAGACAGCACCTACCTCCCAGAGTCATTGTGAGGGTGAAATAAAATAATACATGTAGGGGCCTTGCAAACCTTAAAGAGCTATGTAAATGTTAGCTAATAGGAAAGGGGAAGCTGGGTGACACAGTGGATACAGTGCCTGGCCTGGACTCAGGAAGACCTGGGTTCAAATCTAGCCTCAGACGCTTACTAGCTGTGTGACCCTGGGCAAGTCACCTAACTCCACTGCCTAACCAAAAAAGAAAGAAAGAAAGCTCCAAATGGGGTTATGAACTGGACATGACTGAACCACAGCAACCAAAGTCCCAGGGAAAGGCTTAGCAGTCTAGTTTGTCTGCAATGTAAACGGCACAAGGGAGAAAGGAACGTGACATCTGCCTAGAAAGGCAGGCTGGCACCTAAGTTATAAGGTAAGGAACACAGTTTATCTTACAGAAAATCGACGTGCTTTGTAGTTTCTCCTACAGTCATAAGCTGACTCCTACCTACCTTTCCCATTTTATTTCATCTTAGACCCTTTGTGCCCCCACAACATTCCATCACCCACCTCCACATCCTCGCACAAGTGGTTTGTGTCCACCTCCCAGAATCCCCAGTTTCCTCCAAAGCCCAGCTCAGATACTACCTCCCACATCCCTACATACCATGTTCCTGATCCCTCCCCCCTAATAATTCTTACTTTCTCCCTCTGGAAATTATTTTATGTTACTTTGAGCCAACTATTTACTTACTTGTGTCTATGTGATGAATCCCCCTCATCAGAACATGAGCTCTTTAAAGGTGGCTACTGTTTGGAGTTTGTCTTTGCATCCCCAGCACCTAGCAGGATGATCGGCCCATAGAAGACACTTAATAAACGCCTGCTGAATCCAGTAGGAGCCCACGGAAGGACTCTGAGCTGGGCAATGACAGCCTCCAACCTGTAAGGAGCAAAGGGGACAAGTGGCAAAGAGGCATGTTTCAGCTTCATAATAATAATAATAACAACAACAACAACAACAACTAGCACTTATATGCAAAGTACTTTACAAATGTTATCTCATTTTACAAGGAGAACTGTCCTAACAAACAGAATGGGCTTTCTTCAGAGGTAATGAGCTCCTCATCACTGGAGGTCTTCAAACAGAGGTGGGAGGTTTACTTGTCAGGAATGCTACAGAGGGCTCCTGTTGAGGTACAAGGAGGGCTAGATAACCTCTAAAGGCCCCTTCCAAACACTGAGATTCTGGGATTCTACAAGCCAAATCCCTAGCTACAAACTCCAAAGAACTATCCTGATTTCTTTGTTGTACTATGATGCTATTTAGTAAATACTGTTTGAAGTAGTAGACTATAAGGTACTTGAAGGCAAAAACAGTTTGGCTTTTTTTCATCTTTGTGCCCCAGCACCAGACATGGGGTCTTAAATATAGTAGGTGCTTAATAAATGTTAGTTGAATACATTAGATCATGGGACTTAGAACAGGTTACAGGTCCATAGGACAGGTGGAAGGAACCTTTCAAATCATCTGGCTCAACTCTCTCCCTTCACATATGAGACCTGAAAAGTCAAGCTAGGACATGAGGAATTTCTCACTAGACCTGCCCTGACTTCTTGGAGTTCTGTGCTTATTTTAAAATGGTTGATTTAAAATACAAATCACATAACCAAAATCACATAGGAGAGCTCTCTGATGATTTCAAACCATATCATCAGTTCCATGAGCCATCACAACATAAGACATGAGAAGTGTAATACAATACATACATTGCAATGTTTACCAGGGCAATGCTGAAAGTGGGAAATTCCTTTTACACAAGAGGTCACAGTGGGATCAAGGGAAGCCAGGAAGGCTAGCAAGTCCAATCAATATTAACTTTGAGTCCAAAGGATGAAGAGCCCTATAGTAGGACCACTGGTAGCATCATGCCAGCCTAGCACCCCCATCATTTTCAGCAGGCCACAGAACAAACACCAGAGCCCAATAGCCAGTCATTTTACTCACAAGATTATAAAATCTAGAGATAGAAGCCACCCATCTGGTCTAACATTGTCTTACACATGGAAAAAATTCAAGAGGACAAATTGGGAAATACCTATTTTCCTGGACGTGGCCAACGAAGGAATTTGTTTTGCTTGACTATACATATCTGTTACAAGGGCTTTCTTTTTCAAATAAGAAGGGAATGGGGGGAGGGGAGAGAAAATGGACTCTGGTTAATTTTTTAAAGTAAAGTTCAATTTAAAAAAAAAACAACAAACTGAGACCAAGAAAGGTAAGATTCCTCGCTTAAGATCAGAGATAGTAAACAGAAGAGCCAACATTCCAACCAAGGCCCCTAGATTCTGAATCCAAGACTCATTTTCCTATGACCCAATGGGAAAATAGGGTGAAGGAATAGCAAAAACAGGCCCAAAGGCCCGACCCTCAAACCCACAGCAAGGAAGAAAATGACCAGAGAGAACTCTAATCCTGGGTGAGGAAGATGAGAAATAGCCATGTCCCAGGACAGGGGACAAAAGAACTTTGTTCTAACATACACATGTATGTACACACATACAAACCACACCTACACAACCCCCACCCCCACCCCAGAGCAAACAAGGAATTCCACTCAATGAAACAAACAAACAAAAAAGGGCCCATTTGCGTACTGCCGGCCACATTCTCCAACTTGTTTTAACTCAACATTCTCAAATGTTTTTCTTTGGGGATTTCATGTAATTGCTATGCTTGGTCTCAATACGAACAGCAGCATGTTGCTGAAGCTCTCCAATGAGTGTCTTTTTTTTTTTTAAAGAAACTCAAACTTTGACATCTACTAGCAAAAGAAAGACTGGTTGACTGCTTTGCAACCCAACCTGACACAATCCAATAAGTATCTATTAAGCATCTACTAAATGCAAGGCAACATGATAGGTACACTATAGGAAGAAGTCCCTATCTTCCAAGAGGCCACTTTCTACTGGAAAGATAACAATGTATACACAAGCAATCATAGAAAGGGAAAATTCGGGAAGAAGTGAGCACGGAGGGGCAGCTAGGTGGCGCAGTGGATAGAGCTCTGGCTGTGGAGTCAGGAGGACCTGAGTTCACTTAACACTTGCAAGCTGTGTGACCCTGGGCAAGTCACTTAACCCTGATTGCCTCACCAAAAAGAAAAAAAAAAGTGAGCACTGATGACCAGAGGCTAGGGCAAGTGGATACCAGGGAAGAGGTAACACCGCACCTGAGATGAGCCTTGAAGGTAAAGCAAGGATTCTGAGGCAGAGATAAAGAAGTGTGGTCTAGACCTAGGGAACCACAGCTCACGCAAATGCCTGGAGTTATGGAGAGCACATTTTTGGAAACAAGAAGTTATCCACTTTACATACTAGACCTCAGAAAAAGAAAATAGGAGGAAATAAAGCTAAAAAGGTAGATGGGAGCCAGGGCAGGGATGGGCTTGTTTTACATCTTCATACCCCCAACACTTACAATGAGTATAGGCTCTTAATCAATATTTATAGAATTAAAGCATTAAAAAAACTGGATACAAGTACGGGCAAACTCAGTAGACATTACTGTCTTTTTCAGCACATGTTGGATCATAGCATTTAGAGTTAGAAGAAACCTTGGGGACCATCTAGTCCAAACTCTTTTTACAGAGGATGAAAGTGAAGTCCAGTCAATCAGTCGACAAGCATTAAGGATGTATGTGCGGGTGAGGGGCTAGGTGGTGCGGTGGACAGAGCACCAGCCTATCAGGAGGACCTGAGTTCAAACCCAGCCTCAGACCAAACACTTGACACTTACTAGCTGTGTAACCCTGGGCAAGTCACTTAGCACCAACTGACTTTTTTTTTTGGGGGGGGTCAGGCAATGGGGTTAAGTGACTTGCCCAGGGTCACACAGCTAGTAAGTGTTATGTGTCTGAGGCTGCATTTGAACTCAGGTCCTCCTGAATCCAGGGTCGGTGCTCTATCCACCACGCCACCTAGCTGCCCCCCAACTGACTTTAAAAAAAAAAAAAAGATGTATGTGCCAGGCACTGCATTAAATGCTGAGAATACAAAGAAAAGCAAAAATAGTCCCTTACCTACAAGAAGCTCACATTCTAATTGGGGTGACAATATGTAAACAATTATGTACAGAGAAGACCCAGGCAAATTAGCATAGGAGACAGCTAGGGAAAATCCATGGAGTCTGGAGATAGATTGTCTGGTGGGAGGCACAGCCAGGAGGCCAGGGGTCATCAGACAGAAGAGTACGTGCAGGGGAGTCAGGTATAATAATATTTGAAAGGTAGTAAGGGCACAAGTCATGAAAGATTTTAAAAGCCAAAGAGATGATTTTCTATTTTATCTAAGAGGTAATGAGCAACTACTGAAGTTTATTTGGGGTAGGGAGGTGACAAGTTCAGAGATTTGGGGAGATTACTTCAGCAGCTGAGTGGAGGACAAATGGGAAAGAAATATGCCTTTGGGAAACCAACCAACCGAAAGCCTATTGCCGTACTCCAGAAGTGAGGTGCTAAGTACCCACACCAAGAGGAGGAGGCACAAGAGATTTCGTGAAGGCAGAATTGACAGGACTTGGCAACAACAGAATGGATACTGGGAGGCAAAAAGTCAGTGAGAAGTCAAGGACAACAATGGTGGCGCAGGTTTGGGGGGCTAGGTGGATGGGAATATCCTTCACAGAAACATTCAAGGGGACAGCTCATTAGTCCAGTGTTGGTCATTCTGCGTTTAAGATGCCTAAGGGACATCCAGTATAAGATGTCCAGTAGGCAGTTGGAAATACAAGACTAGAGGTCAGAATAGGGCTGGATAAATAAATCTGAATATTATATGCGTAACTTCTAGGACTACATCCCAAAGAGATCATACAAATGGGAAAAGGACCCACACGTACAAAAATGTTCATAGCAGCTCTTTCTGTGGGGGCAAAGAATTGGAAGTTGAGGGGATGCCCATCCATTGGGGAATGGCTGAACAAGCTGTGGTATATGAATGGAATGGAATACTACTGTGCTATAAGAAATGATGAGCAGGATGGTTTCAGAAAAACCTGGAAAGACTTGTATGGACTAATGCTGAGTGAAGTGAGCAGAAGCAGGAGAAAGTTGTACACAGTAACAGCCATGTTGTGCATGACTAACTTTGACAGACTTAGCTCTTCTCAGCAATACAAGGATCTAAGACATCTTGAAAAGTCTCATGACAGAAAATGCTATCCACATCCAGAGAAAGAACTATAGAGTTTGAATGCAGATCAAAGCATACTATTTGCTTTTTTTTCTTCTGTTTTGTTTTGTTTCTTCTTTCTCATGGTTCCTCCTATCGGTTCTAATTCTTCTTTAAAACATGACTAATGGGGGCAGCTAGGTAGCACAGTGAATACAGCACCGGCTGGCCCTGGAAGTCAAGAGGACCCCCCAGACACTTGATACTTACTAATTGTGTGACCCTGGGCAAGTCACTTAAACCCACTGCCTAGCCAAAAACAAAACAAAAAACAAAAAACCATGACTACTGTGAAAATATGTTTAATAGGAATATATATGTAGAGCCTATATCAGATTGCATGCCATCTTAGGGAGGGACAGGGAGAAAATTTAAAACTCCAAAGTTTATGGACATGATTGTTGAAAACTAAAAATAAATTAATTTTAAAAAATTATATGCATAGAAATGATCATTGAATCCATGAGAGCTGATGAGATCACCAAGCAAAATAGTATAGAGGGAAGAAGAGAAGAAGGTCCACGACAGACCTTTGTTCTGACAAGACTAGCAGGTATAACCTGGAGGAAGATCTAGCAAATTAGACTGAGGAGGGGTCAGACAATTAGGAGAACAGGAGAAAGCAACATGATGAAAGAATCTATTAAGAAGAGGGTGAATGATATTGTCAATGGCTGCAAAGAGAGAGGTCAAGAAGGAAGAGGACTGAGA